GGGGGGGGGGGGGGGGGGGGGGGGGGGGGGGGGGGGGGGGGGGGGGGGGAGGGTACTCGTGTTTTGCATGCCTTAGCGGTTAGACCTTTGATCACGCGTCCTCCAGAGGGCGGAGCATTGTTCCCACAGGACTGATCGCCGATGATCAATCGAAATTTCCTAGATACTTTGCCGAAGATAGCTAAATGTGTTCTCAAGCTTATCTGTACCATCGACATCACTGCCCGCCTTTCATGCCCGTGCGGGTGAGGGTGCAAAATCTGGTGCATGCCTCATGCGCCCTAATGGGGGCGACCCATACAGGTCGAAATTGATGACGGGCATGGGGCGCGGCAAACAGAGCGGCTACGCCGTTCTATTATATATAATAGCACACGACGTTGCGGCAGTCCTGTCTCAACCCAGCAGCCACCGATACAGGAGGAACGGGCGGAGATCTTGAAGAGAACAATCACGGCAGAAATCGGCGAAAATTGGGGGTTCTTGATTGTTACTGCGTCGAACAGTCAGAAAGTCGACCCAGCACAGCCAAACGAACAACAACAATCGCCACCCTCCAGAAAAGGCTGCTGTACCAATTCATCAAAAACACAACATCGTCAATGACGGCAAGAAGAGCGACAGCAATTGCAACAGCACCAACAAAAACCACGCACAACATCGCCAGGCACCCCCACTGCTGTCACCTCCCCCGCCCACAAGAGGCACTCACTGATCGATCGACTTGATCATATGCTTCCTGTTGCGTCTCACGGCCAGCTCGTGCTTGGCCGCCTTCGCCCGCTTCTGTTTGTTCCGCTGAGCCCGCGTGAGCTTTCCCGAGGCCGGCGTGGGTTTCCCTAGAGAGAGGCCGGTCGTGTCATCGTCTTCCTCACCATCGGATGATTCCTCGTCCTACGATATGAGCCGTAAATAAGGAAACAGAGCGGCCGTCGTGTGCGTCGGAAACGCGCGGTGCTCGTGTAAAGCAATCTGGAATTGATTTGTATTCCGACCATCATCTTCCCAGCCGCCCCCTCGCTCGTCAGACTGGCCTGAATCTCACGCGCGACCACCTCCTTTCACCGACAACGCCTCTTACCAACAGCTCCTTCCAACGAGAAACCCAGCATCGGTCAGGATGACCCCCGAAACACCAAGCTACCCCCAGCAAACCAACCAGCAAATATTTTTTGTTCGGTGGTTTCACGCCGATGGCTTGCGGGAAATCGCCTCCTTACTTAAGAACCTCCCGTCGTTTTTCTCGCGAGGAAAGCCGACGACAACCACGCCACACAGAGAAGCCGTAACCAACATCAAGAAAATATGTCACCAACGCGACCAAACGCAACATAAATCAACTCCACGACAACCTAATGGAATACCCACGTCTTCGTCGCCGATGATGACAGCCAGCGTCTCCTCTGACATCCCGGCTGAAATCGGCGCGCTCTCCTCCTCGATGGCTTCCTGCCGCTTGAGCTCCACAGCCACAGCGCTCGCGAGCACGTCGTCGTGGTCCTCCTCCGCCGGGTTGTAAGACTGCCCCGGGTGACACACTCCCAGCTTGGCGAGATTCCGAGCCGAATGTTTCTGCAAGTCCGCGTTTGTTTCAGGCACAACAACAGCGCGACCGTTAAATTGTGCTCATTGTGGCTGCGTGACCTGAGAGAAAAATTCATGCACTGGGCGGCCTACTTGAAAGTGTGGCTGGCGTATTTCTCGAGACTCTCTCCTTCAGTACCACATAGACTACGCGGGTAGGGTTCAAGCACGTGGTAGTGGGCATCGTGTCACAGGACTGTAGGACTGCTCCCAAGTGCGTCGCGTGCCAGGCACCAAGCTCCTCACGAAGAATCCGATCCGTTTCGACTGGTCGCGGGTGCAGACTCGGAGCTTGGAGTACAGGACAATGAGTAACGTTCACCTTCACACCGCAAGTATCTAGAACGAAAGTGTTTTATTCAAATTGTGTGTCCCAGCTGGAATCAACAAGTGGCCGACCAAGTGCAAGGACAAGTTTCAAAACTTCAAGCACCGGACGTACTCTTGAACACGCCCAACCTCAAAACATGTCAAGGGCGATAGCCACAGACTGGAGCAGAGCAAACTACCGACCCCGGAATGATTCACGTGCACAACCTCCCTACCCCCGAATGATTCACGTGCTTCAAGAGTTCTTTTCTGCAACATGTAACGTTTTCGAGTAGGGTACGCCGAGGTTTTCATTAAGCATGACATCACCTCCAACGAGCTTCATGTTTCCAACAGAGCGACACCCCGCTTCCCTCTTACCGCAAGACAAGGCCTCGGGCGGCCTATCTACCCAACGAGGAAAAAGTAACTAGTAGGTGTTTGAAAGGGATGTGCCGTCACCGGCTACGGTCAGAAACACATTTACGCGTTTTCTCACGGCGTGTGCCCCTCTCTTTCTCACCGGACGCTTGGCATTCCGCCCCGGTACCCTAGGGGACGTAACGAAGTATTCCCCTCCCTGCCGACCGCCTGGCTCTCTTGCAGACTCCTCCATGGCAGCTGTCGCTTTTGCCGCCGCCCCTCCTTTCAGAGAAAGCAACGGGTTCGAGTCCTCTGCTTCCTTCTCACCCGGCGTGGACGGCGGCAAGGCCTCCTGCGGCTTCTTGTTGTTGGTCGCTTCGTCTTGGTCCTCATCTGCCCATGGGTCGGAGATTCGGTTGCGACCCACGGCTCGAGGCTTTCCCTGGCCATCGATGAAATCAGTGGGTGGTGATAATCAGAAATCTACTCGAGCAATGTCTCCGGTACTCAGGCTCCGACTTCATCGTTGTGTCTGAAGCACCAGTCATGCACCACCGAGCTAAGCGGGAAACGCGTGCACGCTTCGGCCTGGCTCGATTCATACTTGAAAGAGCATTTAGACGTGCACCCGTTTCGAGACGTGTCAACGATATGTTTCGGGAGAGGGAAGATCTGAAAGTCCATGCCATGCAGAGTCCATTCGAACAAAAACCACCACAAAAAATGAAACCAAAACATGTCCGAACGCTCACGTCAGGAGCAAGAAGAAACAACGCCGATAAAAAAAACCAGCAACAAACAACAAAACAATGCCGGCAGAGACATGACCGCAAAATCGAACACTGATACCTATTTCCCACTTACCTTGCCGAGGAACTTGTGAACAATCAGCTTCTTCTCGTTCTTAGAGAGGTACTTGGCAGCCTTCGCTTCCTTCTCAACCTTGCGTCGCTTTCGCCCTGAGCCTGAGCATCCAATAGCATCCGGCGTAGGTTTGGGAGGGGGGCGGGGCGGGGGGGCGTACTCTCATGTTTTGCATGCCCTACCGGGTGGAACATTGACCACGCGTCCTCGAGAGGACGGAGCATTGTTCTCACAGGACCGATCACCGATGGCCGATCGTTCCTCCCTGGTTGTTTTTCTTGTGTTGTTTCGTGTTTCATCCCCGTTTCGTCCCGTACTCTGTCCTTTCCATGAGTTGTCCAGTTTGCAATCAGATGTCCACGGACCAGGGCATCATTCTTTCGTTGTTTGCGTCGGTTGGATAACGCCAATATTACCTAACTTGTATCTCCCATTGAATACATATGTGTGCCTCCGGAATTACGAAGTATCAACACCTGCCGTAGTAAATATACTTGACAATCAAAAAACAGTAAGGCGAGCACCCGCTAGAGAGTCAGTCGCAGGTAGCTGCCAGTCGCGCCACTGGGACACAAGACGGTATCTGTAAGACGCGTGATCTGAGTAGCCGTCAGCACAGGGGCGAGGCTGCGCCAGCACCGATAGAGAGCCAACGCTGGAAGACTTTGAGAGGTATGACTAGGCGATCAATATTCCACAGACGTCACAGCCCGGCTGGTGCCCGTGCGGGTCCGTTGCTGCTGCCAATCCCACGCCGATCTTTCGTTTGGGTTGTTGCCTTCGTTTTGGATGTGGAGGAGTTCGCAATACTTGCTGCAAAAGCTACTACAGCAACGAATTTTCTGTTATATTCCACAATGCCATCGGGAGCAAGTGTGTCGGCAACGCAAGAGGGAATAGTTATTCGGCTGCTACCAGTGAGCTGAGCCCACCCAGCCTTGCTAGCACCAGCAGTGTATCCCCGTTGTCCAGGGATTCAGAGACCCTCAGCAGCGTCGGAAGAACTACAGTGTGCATGTGCAGATCGTCGTCGACACGCCTGTTGCGCTATGCTATGCTATGAGGCACGCCGCGGGGCTCTCGCAAGCAGAATATTGACACCGAGAAGCACGCAAAAAAAATGCCCGACACCGGCAACAGGCTGTAGCACCGCGAGAAAATAAGCTGTGGAAATAAGATGCCATCGCGTAAACGAGTGCGTTCGGCGGCATTTCTCAGACTGTGCCGAGAACAAGAAACTCAAGGTTATCGTGAGTGACGCAAGATACCACACCCCCTGGACCGGTTTTCAAAGCTCCACTACTTCATAAAGAAGAGTGTGCATCAATGAAGCGATGCGTTCTCGCAAAGCTCTCCACCAGACGGCTCCAACGCCGCCATTTTCGCCACCAACACTCTTGTGCTGTGGAGCAATCGACATGAAACAATCAGTCCAGGGGATGCGTTATCTAATGGCGTACGGTAGGCCCTCCTAACAGGCATATCGTCAGCGACGAGGGCCCGATAAATGCGAAGACGGCCGGCAGGCTCGAAAACGAGTCAGGTCACACGCTCTTGTGGTCAACCTCTGCCGACTTTTGTCGACAAGTACTCTACATAAAACCTGGGGGAGGGCAGCGCCGCACCCCCGCTCATCACTCCCACCTTCCCACATGACCAAAAAAAACCATCGCAATCTACAAGAGAGATTGTTCCATGCATCCTGCATGTTTTGCCTGCCTCCTGAACTCCTGAACAGAGATTTCGTCAACAAACGTCAAGACGGAGATAGTGTCTCCTTCTCTCCCCACAAACCCGCAAAAGTCACAGCCCAGCAGTAGCTAGCTACCCAGGAGAGGGGACCTGTTTCGCAGTCGCTTTCTGTATTACTGAACAGCGCTCATCGACCCAAACATGGTGCCGAGGTTGGATGGGGTGGACACGAGACGTCGGATCTTCGCCTTGGTGCCCAACATTTACCTTTCGCTCCTCATCTCACCACCACAAACAAAATACGAGGAAGCAATTACGCGATTCGTCTCAAAACACCACCTGCCGCCGTCAACGACACATACCAAGAACATGTGGCTCACTGTTGGCTGCAGTCTGCTATTGCTGTACGAGCGCGGACTGCCATGACACATTCCGGCAGCAAGGAGTGGTGGCAGGGACACAAGCAGACTTCTGTCTCCCATCTCCTCTCCATGACAGATGATCCTCGCACGTACCTGCAGCATCTACGACGAACAGGGCCTTGTCCGGCTTTCGCTGCAGAACGGCCTCCTTTTGCTCCACTTCCATGGCCGAGGCAACCTCCTCCGCCACGAGCTTCTCCCTGGCCCTCGCGGGCAGTCTGCGTTTGCGACCCATGACTTGACTCTGCTGCCGCCTGCTGCGATGTCTTGCTTGCCGCGGTCGAAGCCCCCTCACCTTCGCGTCGGAAGAGAGCACGACTAAACCACACTCCCGGTGTGCGGGGGGAGAGGTGTCTCGGCGACGGGCGGGTGCGTGACGAACAAGACAGACAAGAGGGGACAGAGGACAGCAGAGCACAGACCACGCACGGGACTACGAGACTGTGTGCCTGGGAGGGGTTCGGCAGAGGAGAACGGTGGAGGTAGGTTCCCACGGCGGCATTATTTTGGTTCTGGTGTGACAATGAAGGTGGCCCTTGGCCCTTGTCACCTGATTAGATCCGATTCGACCGCGCAGGGCGCGGCAAAGCAGTTGAATCACAAACCTACATCGTATGGACGCCAGCGATGCCTCGCTGCTAGACGAGCGCAGCAGAGATTCCCCCACACTGCTGCCCGCCCTGCAGAACCTTCTGCAACTCGTCACGCCGGCGATACCGATGACCAAGTCCAGGCTGCAGGTCGAGAGGCAGACCAACTTGTAAACCGCTTGCAGTAGATTGAGCTTGCCCTCACCAGAGCAAGTTTGCAGTTGAACGAGGTATGCATGTACCGCGACCTGCCGATGCGGGCGACACATCGTTGGTAGGCATGCATGGGCCCAAGAGCTTCGTGGTCGAAAAACGCTATGCATACGTGCACATGGTACTGCTGTAGGCGGCTGTAGTCTAGATCATGCAAAGAATTTTGTTTTGTGGGATGCCTTGTGCATCTATGATTGGGAACGAGAGAAATGGTCCGCATACATTCAATGCAGCAGAAGTAGCTCACCACTGCTCGTCCACGTCGAAATTGGTGGGAATTCGTGGTCTTCGTGCCGAAACACGATATATACTACGTACTACTGTACCTTACCCTGGGACCCACCCAGCAACACTACTGATACTGTTTCGTTTTTTTGTGTTAGTATTGACTTCGTGATTACCTCGTGGCGTGCACTACAGTAGGGGGCCCTCTATAGTGCCGGTATGTGTTCAGAGAGCAAAGCGGCACTATACCGGGCACCGGCACTATTCAGAGTACAGAAAAGTGTGTGCGAGCCGAAAACACCGGCACTATACCGGCAACCGGCACTATTCAACCTGCACTATATCGGGCCACCCACTGTATTGAGGTTTCCATTTTTCGTCGGCTGGTTGGTGGGAGCATGTAAATAGCAACTTTTACTGGAAGTGCGTCCGACCACAGATAGAAACAAGGTTGTTGCTGCTCTCCTTTGCTTCTCTATGTTAAATATTCTTAGCGCCTTCCATGTGCACATGTGCACCATGCAGCCCGGTACAGTCGAACACACACAAAGACAAGCTGGCTCACAGCTAATTTGACACTGAAAAACATGATGATGGGCACAAGATGCGAAATAACTCCTGCACCTCCTCATGACGTCTTATCACAACGTCTGGCAACGCAAAATAACCATGGCGACGGCACCATTATGCGACCCCCTCCAAATCAACAATCAACCCTTACAATTGTTTATGTTGATGTCGCGGAGATCGGCAAGGGGGGTTCTTCAACTTCCAAATGTGGTGGTGTTCTTGTTGAGGCCGTGCGGTGAACCTGTGCTGCTGCGGTGAGCAAGTCAAAACTTTCTGATCTTTGTAGTGTACTGCTGTTGTTGCGAGAAAGTGTCCAAAATACACAGCGTACACATCCTGCTCATCAACCAGAGTTTTCACCGTCGTTCGCTCCCATCGCTGTATGTACTCGTAAACAGGCAGTCATGGGAATCTCTACGATGGTACAGCGCGTCCGGATAGAACCCTCTTCCTTCGGTCCACTCTTACCACACTCTCTTCAGGCTCGACATGGCGCGAAGCATCAAGATGCTGGAAATGGACGATGTTTTTGCATCAGTAGGCAGCAGGGGCTGGGATACCAAGCGTGCTGGCCGCGACCTTGAAAGTGCGAGAGGGCCACACGGCGTGCCTGAGAGAGATCTTGTGGTGAGAATATTTTTGACCCGGGAGGAAGGACGTGCTGCGTGTCGAGGCATAGTTACATACAGTAGTTTCGGTTAATGGGAACGAACGTGTCCGCCAGCCCCAGCTAGCTCTTGCTGGTTGCAATACACCACATTTCGTAACTTCCGCAAAACGTTGCTTGTGTATTCTTATGAAAGTAAGAGGCTATAAGCGGCGGGTCAGCCAGTAGAAGCTTCCATTGTATTGCCATCTGGACATCTGCCGGTGGGTGCATAAAATATTCATTTCGAGGGAGGGATAGTCTTGTTCACTCACTCAGATCGTGACTTCCCCCGCCCCGTCGCCGCCCGTCGTGCCCACCCAGGCTTTGCAAACCCTTTGCTACGTCAAGGAGACGGTGCTTGCTGCGATCACCTTTATCGCCCCTGGAGCCCTGGGCAGGAACTTGTCCGCAGCTGCCGAGGCGAGGGCTGCACTTGTACCGCTTTTTTCTCTATCGAGCTGACTGAAAGTCCATATAGACTATTTATACAAATTGTTTCGTAGTCGGGACTTCCACCGGTGACGTTCGGACAACAAAAAAGAGGCGTTGGCCGTGGTGTGACTTTTTTTCGAAGTTTGCAACCTTGTCGAGTGCGGTCAACAACCAAGTACGTACAAAGTGGAAAGGGTACAGTTGCCTGAAGGCGAAGCTCAAGGCGGCGCGGAAGAAACGCAGCAGCGCGAGGTGGAGAGCACTGGAAAAGTTCTTCGAGGGCTATGTGAGGCAGCTCGAGAAGAAGAGCCGTGAGGGGGACCAGGCGGGTTTCTACAGGCACCTGAAGATGATCGACGTCGAAGGTAAGAGGCCACTTACCTCCCAGAACATCAAGGACGAGGACGGTAAGGTCCTTCGGGACCCCACGCTTACCCGCCAGCGGTGGGCGCGGTGGTTCCACAAGCTCCTTAACACCAAGTCGCCGACCATCGACCTGCATGCGACCGACAGAGTCAAGCAGTGGCCCACGTGCGTTCCGCTCGACGACATCCCGT